TAAAAAAAAATGTCAGTACTCTTTCGAATAAAAGGTTTTAATTTTTATTTATCATCTTCATCAATAAATAGTTCTGATCAATGTTCATCAGTCAAACAAGAAGAAATCATCGATAGATGGGATGAAATAAATCGTCGAAATGAAAATGTTCTTCATCCAGTTAAATCTAAACAAATATATCAATCAGAAAATGATTTTTCAAATAATAATAATAATAATCATAAAGCATTTAATGATCTTTCAACAAAACCATTTTATATTAATTCTTATCATAGTTATCGTCCTCTACCAGATTTATCAATAAATACAGATCAACAAATAAATATTAATCCATCAATTTATATTAATAAATATATCAATAAACAATCATCTTTTATGTCAATTAATAATGATTCAACACTTTTATATGGAAATAGTATTATTAAATCTAATAAAGCTACTGTTTTAAATATATTTGATCAACAATTATTAGATGGATATTCAACAAATACTTATGTTAATAAACATGGAATTATAATTGATGAAGATGGTCCATTTTGGCCAGAAAATTATCGTATTCTTCATCCAACACCAAAATTATTGAGTCGTGAATTGACACCAAAAGAATTTTATTTGTCATCATCAATGTCAAGTAAGAAAAAAAAAAAAAAGAAAAAGAAGAAAATGTTGAAAATGTAATGTTTGTTTTTGAGTTTGATAGTTTGTTTAATAATGTGATGAAAAGAAAAAAACAATGAGAATACTAGATGAAATTGAAGTTAAGTAAAAAAGAAAAAAAAAAGAATAATGCATTGTGGACAATCAATTGATTGTCGAGAAGATTATCATAAGAATAATGAACAATATGGATATATAATTAATTCAACAAAACGATTTTTACATAATAATCGTATATTATTTTTTTCATCATGGAATATTTATGTTGATCAGTTAGGTCCATTTTGGCCAACTGATTATCCAATTAAACATGGAACACTTTCACATTTATCACGAACATTTAATATAAAAAATTCCAAAGAATATTATCGATTTTTAGGAATAAATAATCGACAAACATATGATAATCAACCAGCTATTTATAAATATCGAGGTATATTAAAACATCCAATTATTGTTTATGATATGGATAAATCATCAAGAAATCAACAAATAAAACAATCTGATAATGATCAAATATCTCCTCAATTAATATTTGAATCAAGATTTGAAGGTGGAAATTTACGACAAGTTAGACGTGTGTAAGAATAGAAACAATATATATTGTTTATTATATAAATATTTATTTGTTTTAGAGGACAATTTGAATATGAACTTATTCTTCGACCTGATCTTTATACTCGAAGACATA